GTCAGAAAATACATCAGGAAGAGAAACACTGCAGCAATCCATTCTGGAGCCTTCAGCAGCTTCTAATGCTTTTTGGGTTTTGTTACAAAAAGGAAAAGCTAAATAAAGTGAAATTTTTGTGAGTGCGTCTGCCCAGTAGGATTGTCGGCACTACTAGGCCAGTAGTGTCCCAGGACACTAGTTAATTTGATCAGCAACTCTAATGCACTTCAAGCTTATGGTGAATGTAAATAAATCATATCAGGCACGAGGGCTGCTCAAGTACTTGGTCATCACTAGCTAGTTAAGTTAGGAGATGGCTTTGCAAGACTATGTATACGCAGAGGTCATGAACCCTGTTGGCTTAATCTGTACGTTTGTATTGTGTTCATATGGCTCTTTTGGATTGAAAACACCATTTTTTCATTGCCCAGGGTGCCTGAATGGCAGCATCTGTTGTTCTTCAGGCTCTGATTTAGCATCCTGGTCATGGTGGTGTACAGTGGTTAGTGGCTGGTAGTGACCTGCTCAAAGTAACTGGGCAGCGGGGGCACAAAATGGCAATTTTCTAACAAGGGAGCTGAAAAGGGCAGCTGGTAGTTTGATCCCAGTTCTGCCTGGCCTTCACCAAGGCAAGACAGCATGTGAGGAACTGGCAGCAGTGGCAATCTGGAGGAGCTGTTCTGTATACATGACATAAGGTCTTAAAAAAAGGAAGATTTTATATAGTCACACAAATCTACTTCTGTGTGGTGCTTCTACACATTTGCAAAGATAAAAAAAACTTACCAAAGGTTGGCGTTACATTTTGTTCATTGAGCTTTGTCTAGAAATACATGAGTGCTTACACTTTTCTAAGTATATGATTTTGTAAGGAAGTGGGAAAATAGCAACGTGTTAGCAACTACCATTTTCTGAGGCCAAAACCCAGACAAATTTGTTTTTCTTATACTACCATTTTCAAGATCAGTACACCCATAAATACTCAAACTTTGCATGCCTTGACACTAGAAGGTGAAAGCTGTGGTCCTTGGTCATGCTTTAATGAGCATGCATTTGAGGCTCAGATTATTCTCATCATCAGAATATCCTACAAGTGTCTCTGTGGGTCTACAATGAAACAATTCACCATTTCTTTTACAGCAAAAATTCTTCCTGAGGTCTGCAGCTGTTTTCTAGAAGATGTACTTAAAATAAGTATTTACAATTTTTTTAGTCCTTTCTGGATTTCATTATTGGGTATTAACAATATTAATAAAGGATTGTGTTTGTGACAGTGGAACACATACTTTTGCTAATGTCATAATTTGTGAATCTCTTGCTTTAAATCTTTGTTCATTTATAAGAGTAGTTCATTTGAATGAACAGACTCACTAAAACTGGGAGTGTATTAGAGCAACGTAACTGAGTTTTATCATGTAAATGCATTGCTGCAAAACCAAAAATGTCAATTGTCACCAGTTTCCTATTCAGACTGTTGTTCCTCAGAGTCAATCCCTAGATGTATTAACCCAGTGTGCCTCAGCCTAGCGTTTAATAGATATTCTTATCCTACTCAATACAGAGCCAACCATTGGACTTCCATTGTTGGACAGTAAATCCAATACCCCCCCCCTCCACATCCTGCTATATCTTTAGTTTTGGTGAAAGCTATCTTTGGGTATGGGTGTCTCAGTGCGCTGCCAGAAGCAGCACTGCAGCTCTTGCATGGCACCTTGCCCAGACTAATTTACCGAGAGGTAGAGTAATGATTCATGGGATCAGGATGTTTTCTGCTTCGCAGCTTTGCTTATATTGTGCAATGCAGCATTCTTTGGTTATGAAAAAAGGAATTGCATTGCATTGTGTGTGCATATATATCTCCCTACTTTAAAATCCTCTCATGTATTACAGCACAGACACAGCTGAGAGCAAAACATCATACCGATTAACAAACTTTTGCTTTATTGCAGAAATGAAGATGATGACCCAAGAAGACATAGTTTCTTCAAAACAATAAATTTCCACAGGCTAGAGGCAAACCTTATTGACCCTCCATTTGTGCCAGATCCATCAGTTGTCTATGCCAAAGATCTTGCAGACATTGCTGACTTCTCTGAAATACGAGGAATTGAGTTTGATGACAAAGATAAGAAGTTCTTCAAAAAGTTTGCGACAGGTGCTGTCCCTATAGCCTGGCAGGAAGAAATTATTGAAACGGGACTGTTTGAAGAACTGAATGATCCCAACAGAGTAGATTCCGGGAGATATGCAAATGGAGGTGAAGCTAAGTCAGGAGTTTGTTTGTTGTTGTAAATATCACATCAGTAGCAAAAAGAGTAGAAACCACCTCAGAACTTTCCATACTCTGACACTGTTTCAGAAATTCAGTGCATCTGTTTAAGAAGAACCAATCAGTGTAATATGACATTGACAGGCTGTGTAGGACCACCAGCTGTGTAGACTATATTACTTCCCTTTGCTCTAGCAAAGGGGATAATATTTTTGTTTTATTGGAGATTTATCAAGATGAAGCATATTTCTCTAAGAAACTTAGAATGTTAGAAATTCTGAAATACAAAAAGCAATAATAGAGTGAAGAGGCAACACCTTTTGAGAATGAATGACTACTATTTTGAATACAATCAATTGTTGGTTTTCTTTCTATTTTCTTGTTATTTCTACTAACATTTCCTCTTTGTTCTACAGTTTTCAGGGAAGATTTTTTTAATTTTCAAGTAATATTCTCAGTTAGGCAATGGAGCTCATACATCATGTCAAACTTGGAATCTTATTGGTTAGCCAGTCTGTCTGTTTTCTTAATTTCTGTTAGTTTTTGAATGGCTTGATTGTAATATGTTCAAACTGTCATAAAATGTAAAAGAAGGCTCTACATATTACTAGGAAATAGGACCAACAGGATCAAACTCTTTTCAAAGTTGATTTTAGCAGAGTGAAGATAAGATTGCACCAAATTAATTGAATAAAGAATTTATTTATTATTATTAAGCGTGTTCTTTTAAGTGATAATACTATACACAAAGAAAAGGTATTTATTAGTTCTTTTTGACAATCAATTTTAAACTTTTTTCAGGCTTCCTGATCATTTTTCTGTATTTTGGTAATAAATTGAGCTACAAATAGACCAAAGCAATTTGTAACTGGCTTTTTACGGGATATATTTCAGTTCAATATAAAATTTAATTCAGTAGTTGCAAAATACATCATACTTTTAAGTGCTGTAATGCTGGAAAGATTATGTGTGCAAATTGACACCATTTTCAAATGTTCATTGATTCTTGTGCAAATTTTGATGTGTTTTATTTTTCAATTTTATGACAACCTAAATTGAAATAATTGGAAACATTTCTGCGAATACTTGCTACTGCTGAAGTGTGTTACTCGTGACATGCATCCTACTGATTTTTGCTGGTAAGAACATAGGTGGTAGTTGCTTGCAACAACTTTTAAAAGTGATTCTGCATGCTGTTTACTCTCATCTATCTAGCCATAATTTCCATTGACGAACGTGGAAGTTGAAACAGCTCCGTTCCTTGGAGTCCTGGAGGCTGCTAATACCCTGCTTCCTATTTTTCAAAGAGCAAACCTGCTACTGAACTCAAAGACTTCTTTTGTATAGACACTGGGATTGAACTCATGCGTCTGTTTTAAAAGAGGAAGACCAACAGATATGATGTCTTCTATAGTCAGGTCTATCGTGCAGCACATAGCTTTAGTGTTTAGTTATAATCTAATAGCTCATCCCAAACACTGCAGTAATCAAAACCCCTTTCGTTTTAAGTACTTTAAGTGATTTAGACACAGCTATGTAATACATTGGTAATACACTGTGTTGTTCTAAGTAGAAAAATAATTGTTCCTTTTTTTCCTTTTAAATTTGCTTTTCCAGTGCTTTGTATACTTAATTTTCAAGTGAAAATCGTGAAGAACAGTCTTACTTGGGATTAGTGGATAATTCCGTTCATAAATTATGAGCATATAATTGTCTGCCTTTTGAGGGGAGACTCTCTGGCAAATAGTTTAAAACAATATAAGCTGAATTCTGACTTGGGCTTTTAATTGACAAGGATAATCCTGAAAGATTGTGAAAAGCAGAGGAGGTTGAGAGGAAAGAGAGTAATGTGGTTCTGTCACAGCTTTAGGAGAGTGCTTCCACTGCTGACATCCAGTGATTTTGTTTTTCATTGCTCCCATCTGTAGAAAGCTCACAGAGTGGCATTAGGCCAATATATTTAAGAACCCCAGATAGAAAATTTTATACATTTAAAAAGAAACACACAACACCCCCCTTTTTACAGCTAGGAGAGACCTATTAGTGCCAGTGGCATCAAACTTTTTTCTTGAATGGGTACACCTTAAATCTATAGAAATGCCATTTCACAAACCCACCAGAGCCATAAAGCAGTACTCTGAAATGGCTGTAGGTTTTCTAGTGCATAACTAATTTTTCAGTATATATGTTTTCCCATACGGAAAGAGGTTATTTATAGACAGAACCAGAATTTAATATCATGTTAGAATCATATATCCCCTATGATAGCAGGTGTTGCAAGTCTGGGTTTTTCAAAATGTATTGCAATACTGAGATCTGTGAATGCAGGACATCATATGCGCATAATGTTAGGTTATTTAGTTTTAGAAATATGACAGTGTTAATAAATCCCAGCAGGATGTATATCAGTGAAATATTGTAATGTTAAGTGTTTCATGAATCATTCAAAGCAGCACATCAGTAGTCTGATAATGCACAATTTGGCACAGCATATGACAGAGAAAAATGTGTTTGTTTGAAAGTATTCATTTTAATTTTCTAAAATTCTCTGTTTCACAACATGGACAACTTGGTTTTGCACTATGAAAAGAAAGAGCAGAGCAAAGATTACTTCTGTATTTCTGTTAGCATTTTCAGTGCGTCTTTTAAAAACTAATTTCAACTTCTTTTAAGGAATCTGTGAATTGCTTGGCCCTTTTCTTCTTCCTGCCACTGTAATGTTCCTTGTTAAACTTTCAGGAACAAAGTTATTTTAACATCCTGCTTCACCTTAACAAAACAAAGCCAGCGATCCTAAGAGATTTACGCTTTTGAATTGTCTTACTGCAGCCAATGATGCTACTCATGTGAGTAAACTTAAATATATATGCAAGTGTGCAAGATCAGGGCCCAAGTCAAAAGTATTGACCAAATCATTAGATGTTTATGATTGAAAATGAGGGATGAAGTTGTGGGAGGAAAATAACCTTGTGGTTGTGGGATACTTACATTCTTGTGGCAAAAGAAAATGATGCAATTTGAAACTGCTGTTTTTTCTTCTAGCTGTCTCTCTTCTTCCTCCTTTGCCATCTTTGTAGTGTCTCACTTGCCTGTCTCTTTTTTTAGGCAGATAGGATGCATTCAAGTGTTAATCTAATCTAAAAAAACTAAATTGTGAACTCTATTGCATTAAATGCCATCTGTGAAAGGTTACTGAGTGCCCTGGCCACTCTGCAGTGATTGTACTAACAGTGCTGTCTTTCCTGCCCTGTTTTACTTAGAACTACTTGATAATTTTAATTGAAGAAGGCTGAAATGTGAGATTCATAATGGCTTGAAATCTGTTCTTATAAGAACATAATTTGAAATAACCTGGACAACACTGAGGAAAGACTGCTGGCACTGAGAGGCTATAAAAGGAAAAACTTTCCATTGTACCTCAAGTCCAAATTTTCTTTGATACTATCCCTGTTACCCTTACCATTACCCCACCAGTTTCACTGAGCACAATGAGACAAAATGAGGGTTAGTGTTAACGTAATGAAATCGTTGTTCACAGAGATTATTTATCAGTGTCAATAAAGCTCTAGCTGTGTACCTTCGGTTGTATCATGGCAAAGGCTCATTTAGTTGATAAACACCTTGTGTTGCAGCAAGTAGTTCACTTGTCTATTCCAGTATGAAATAGATTTAGTAATTGGAACCTGCATGCAATTTCCAGGCTGTTGAGTAGCATCCATATTAGGGAAGGCAACTTTACATTAAGTTAAGAGCCTCTTAAGCAAACATACTTGAGAGAGTTATTTCTTCAACCGTAAACAAATGTCAATGCAGAGAGCAAAATGGAACTAGGATGAGATCTCTAGTTAGAGCAGATGCCTGTAATTGTGCAGTGTAGCTATAAAGTGATACATGGTTTTATACGCTTTTAATATCAGCATTGTTTTTTATAAATAAAATGCTTGTAATACTGTATTTAAAATATTGTTGCTTTTACAGCTCTTAGTGATATATATGTGTAACATTTTTCTGATCTTAATTTCAACATCTATGCTTAAGATAAGTAAGTATGCTCATGTAATTTACTTTAGAAAGTATAAATTGCTTCTTTTATGCTATGATAATAATTTTTATCACTAGATTTTTAATACCAAAATATTTAAATTTCTTTTATCCTTTTATGCAGTAATGACTTGTAAAAAGAATTTTAATTATGCACAATGTTTTTTCTCTATAATAGGATCTAAATTAAGAATTAAAATCTTAGCAACTGTGGCTCATAGCACCACAGAAGCACTGAAAATCCTACCTAGTTCTGGGACTTCTGCTGAAAGCAAAGCATACATTTTTCCTAAGTGGCAAACACCTCAATCTTGAAATCTATGGATAGCAGAAATTACTGGCTTTTTATAGTATGAGACCTATCACCTGTAATGTTATGGGTAAAGGTCACCTATGATCATTTTGGCTTAGGAAGTACATTTGAAACATTGTAATGTGGTAGCCTTAGAGGGAGCTTCATAGACACGTTAAGGAATGCATGGACAAAAACTGAAAACAAATTCAAGTGAGCATATGACTTTTTATGATTGGGCATTGCATTATTACAGCAAGTAACTCTAGTATTTAATTTTAAAAAATAGACCAAAATATTAATGTTTCTTAGGAAATCATTGGTATTTCTCTGACTTTCACTTATATCATTATCTGCACCTGAGCAGACCTAGTGTAAAATTCTTAGCAGTTAGCCCTCTGCATTTGCAGAAGTGTGGATAAAAACTTAGTGTTCATATGGGAGCGGAAGCCTTTTAGGCACGTCTTGTCTGGAAAAGAGGAGGAGCAAGAAAACAGGTGGTGTCACTATGTTCTTACAATGCAAGTACCTACATTCATGGGAAAATATAGTTAGTGATGTCTGTAGGTAGCACTGTTCACACCATTCTCTTGAGTTCGTTTCCTAAAGGAGAATGACATGGTATGTTGTTCTTACATTTACCTTACATCTGTACCCTCTTCTGTCACCAATACTGTTTCAGTCAAGTGTTACTCCAAGCGGTTAAAGGCTTGGGGAGGGGGGGGGAACATGGGAAAAAAAACCATGAGTCTCTTTGAAAGGGCTTCTGGGTATGTTAGTTGTATTCCTTTTCCTCTGAGAGCTTTGGAGCAGCTGCAGTGGTGAATTCCTCCCTTTCTTGTTGACCAAGTGCAAGGACAATTTGTTCTAGCAATTATTTTATCCTGTTTGTGCTCTTTATCCATGCTTTTCAATGTCTGAGCTTTGTTAGTACGCCAATTTCTTCCAAGTGTTTTGTTTTCTGATTAATGTACACCAACATGGCGCTATTGCAATGTTTGGTAGGATGACTTACGAAGAAAGAGAATTTTCATTTTCCTTCTGCACACAAGCATTACTTGAAGCCAAACATAACTAATTAATTTTGACATTTGTTTTATCAGAGTTCTTTACCAAACCTACATGTTGGCCTATATGATTCATTCAAGTTGTTCTGACAGTTACATTTTTCAGAGTGGAAAGATACAGCAAGGCTGAATGACAGGCTGTGTACATGTCCTCATGATGGGAGTTCCTCACCATGAATGTTTCTGTGATTCATGTTTTTATAAAGAATGCCAAAGGGATGACTATGGATATATCAGTTGTCATAACTTGTGGTTCAGTTAACAATCGTGGA